GGGGGGGGGGGGTTTAAAACTGGATTAGGTATATTCCAAAAGCTTTAACTGTAGGGTGCTTTTATTTTAATGCAGATGCAAAATTAGTCCAAAGTTTTTGAAGCTTTCATTGATGGTGACATTATCAATGCCTGCTCTATTTTAGTTTGAGATTGTTCCCATGTTGGATAATTAACAAATGTGAGCACATTGTTTAAAAGCTGTTTTGTTTTTTTAACAGTGTTCATGAGAAACTTGACTCTTCTAGAGCATCCTCTTATGTAGGACTGTAATAAGTGAGTAACCATTTTGTGAATGGATCCAATGCTGCATTCAGAAACACTGGAGTTCTAGTGGTGCTGCAGCCAACAAACCATGGGGGCATTCAGGTCTGATACACACTGATATAACGATATATGTGAGGGTTACTCTTGTCAGTGATCACTGATTGTACTATACTGTTCATGCTGTGGTACATTTCCCTTTAATGTCTGTGGCTGCATTAGGGCACACTGGACAACCAGTGAGCAGGAAATCTGTAACCAGTTTAGATTTTTAAATAGCTTTTTCATCAATGTGATCAAGTAGAATAGAATAAACACCCAGTCTACTTTATTTCTTAATGTTATTAACCAGATTTAGTAATGAAGTTACACTATTCTGTGATAGAAAATGGTATCATCACTGGCTCCTAGCTTAGAAAACCATCAGTGCAGCTTAGCTGACAGTATTTACTGTTTTCTGCTGTTTCAACAACGGACATAACATGTAGACTACTTTTGTAGTGACGATGAGTCATGAGTGTCCAAAATCTAAATTTAGTGCTCACTACTGTCTAAACAATAGGTTTGAATAGGTGAATGAATGAGTGAGTGTCTTGTTGCGTTGTCTTCTGGTCCACATTGCTGCTGTCAGGCAGCGGTATAGATGGAGGCTGGTGCTACGAGCAGCCAACCACCAGTGTGATGCGGCACGCCCAGGACACAGTCATGGAAAACAGGCCTACATCAAGTGAGTATGACTTTCTTGATTTTAAGAACATGTGTTCTTATGTTTCCTTTAATGTTCTGGATAGAATAAAGTTCCATAACTGAACTTTTAAATCAAGTCATTTAACAAATAGCAGTTGAGCTCGTTCAGGTGTTGTCTGGTGCACACGTCTTTATTCCAGCACACTTTCAAACTAAAACAAACTTGTGCTCTGTAATATTATGCCACATATACAGACAGATTTATGAGATGTACACTAAACTCAAGATTATTCTGTTTTAATTTCACAATATGACTCAAGATCTACATTACTTATCTTTTGAGGAAATCTATCGGTGTGAAAGCAGATGCACACGTGAACCAATAAAACTCGGTCAGTTTTCACACCAACACTAGCGTTCGTCATCGCTCCTATACTCGCATTCACTCGCACAAAACAGGCTAATAAATTAGAGATATTATCTAGCATGTAGACGTAATCTAGATACAACACGGAGGACCAACAATATTGAATGACTATCCCAAAACATCACAGCACAGAAGGGGAAAGCAGAAAAAAGGCTTGAATTTCTTGATGGGCCAGCTCATCTTTTCGATTTGGGCACTTGAACTCTTGATAGAAACACTATGTGACCTCTGAGAGAAGACAGGAGGTTCCTTCAGTTTGTTGTTAAGGCCCCTCAGAACAGAAGATTCACATTAGACCTCACATCAATGCTGATTAATTTGGTTCTGCAGCATGACAACCAACAAGAGCTTTGCTGTTACAAATAGCTCTGTGCAGATTTTACCGTAAATGGTGCCAAATGTTCAAAGGTGATCAACATTCCAAAAGCCCCACAATGCTGAACTTATAATGATATAAATATAAGACAAATGCAGCAAAACCCCATATTTTAGAAGCTGGAACCAACAAATGAAATGTAAAAATGATTATCATTTGGTATTTCTATGCAACAATTACTAGACAAAATGTCTCCGCAGTTTCCAACTAAACATAGAGTTTGTATCCACAAGTGTACAGCAGAAATCAGAAATCATAATACAACTAACAAGAAGAGCCTTTCCACTATGTATTTCACTGTAACGCTCTGTTACAAGACCTTATTCAACTGAGGGTCTGTGGTCTAACGTTGATCTGTGCGAGTTCCTGAGCAGCTCCAGTGTGAACCAGCAGATGGGGATCAAGGCCAAAGTCAGTTTCATCGCTGCATGTCTCTTCACACAACAAACCTAGTTCACTTTTCAGAAGGTGACCTAGCAACAGAGCTTGGACTCATCATAATGACAACTTCCAAGTCTGAGAAAATCTAAATGGACGTTCTCAGGACAGTTTCAGTTTGCAATAGTACAAACACACTGGGTAGCAAACACTAGCATAAACATTTATGTACAGGTTTATACAATACAGATCAGATATGATTTGTTTCTCTGGTGTCTTACACTTGTGGCACTGGTTGCAAATTAAACAGTCACAATATGCACCTAATTTTCTTTTTTTTTTTTCAGCAAATGTGTACAATATATACATGAATAAATATGTTTTTCTCTCAGTGCACAGGGTAAGCAGCAGGAAGAAGCATGTGATTCCATTATGGGAAATTACTGAAGTCAGTTTTCACAGAAGTGAGTCTCTTAAATATTGTTAGGTTTTCTCTAGTTTAAACTCCTCTTACCCCAGTGGTTTCCATTTTTACAAGAGCTGATAGAGCACAATGATACAGATCCTCACAGTCGTGCAGGGTTTGTCCACTGACACTCGGTGTGTTTAGCTGCTTCATTTCTGAGTGTCCACAGAGGTTAGTGCACAGTGTATGAACATGTCCTTTTAAACCATTTCACTGTGCCAGATGGTTCATATATGGGACAGAGCAGCTTTATGGTACAGGCCTGATGCCAGTCCAGTTCCAGTATGTCCTGTTAAAGCAGTACTGGCCTCACTGTACATGGAGGGTGGAGCAGTGGCTTTCTGCAGCCAGCAGGGGCAGCACCGAGCCACAAATCTCCTCCAGGACTCGAGGGTTTTTCCTGACCAAATCCAGACTCCTGAGGTGATGCCTACCACTAAGCACATGAAGTACTTGAGCATGAAGACAGTGTAGTCTGGACCTTGGCCCGAGTGCTGCCGCTCGGATGTGCAGGAGCAGGCCAAGGCTCGCTCCCATCCGGGCCGGTAGTGTTGCTCATAGACCAGGCAGGCCACCACGATGGTGGCAGGGACAGTGTACAGCACTGTGAAAAGCCCAATGCGGATCATCAGCCTCTCCAACTTGTCTGTCTTGGTGCCACCTTGTTTGATGATGCTCCTGATGCGGAAGAGAGAAACAAAACCTGCAAGTAAGAAGAGTGAGCCTGTGAAGAGGTAAACCACTAGAGGAGCAAGTACGAATCCCCTCAGATTCTCCAGACTCTGGTTCCCAACGTAGCAGATTCCAGCCACAGGGTCCCCATCCACAGAGCTGAGAGCCAAGACTACAATTGACTTGATGCTGGGGATGAGCCAGGCAGCAAGGTGGAAATACTGAGAGTATCCTGCGATGGCCTCACTGCCCCACTTCATGCCTGCAGCCAGAAACCAGGTGAAGGACAGCACCACCCACCAGATGGAGCTGGCCATGCCAAAGAAATACACCAACAAGAAGACAAGGGTGCAGAGAGCGGGGCCAGTGGTGTCATAGAGGATGTGTAGCTGGTCACCACCAAAGCTACTACCAGCGCCACACGCCACTCGCTCATGACCTGCCACCAGGCGGATGATGTAACCCAAAGAAACAAAGAGGTAGCAGGCAGCCAGGAAGATGATTGGTCTCTCTGGGTACTTGAAGCGCTCCATGTCAATGAGGAAGGTGGCCACAGTGGTCAGGGTGGAGATGAAGCACAGCACTGACCAGAGCCCCACCCAGAAGCTGGTGAAGGCACGTTCATCAGCTGAGAAGTAGGGCTGGTGGCAGGGCTGGGCACAATTGGGGAGGGGGCCAGTCTGGACCCGGCCGTACAGAGTATGGGACTCCCTTTTGATGGGGACCAGGGGATCTCGACAGCGGCACTCCCTGTCACATTGCTGGGGGCTGGGGGGTCTGGTCCGGCCTTTAGGGGTGGGCTTGGGGAAAGGGGGAGCCAGGGTGGTGGTCTCGCTGCTGTTCTGGTCCATGCAAAGGGTCTCGTCGCCAAGGTGGGGAAGCTTCTCACAGCTCATCCTCTCGGGCCACTCGAAGCCATACTGGCTCATCAGAGGGGAGCATCCTCGTTTGGCCCGTTCGCACACAGAGCGGCAGGGTGGCAGCGGCTTGCGGTAGTCCGGTAGGCAGATAGGGGTGTACATGCTGCACAGAAAGAACAGCAGGTCTGGAGAGCAGCGGATCCGGACCAGAGGCCAGAATTGGTGCACCTCCAGCCCCACCTCCTCCTGGGTGTCATGGTTAAACTGATTGGGCATGTAGGTCAGGTTGTAGCCAATGCCTCTGCACATGGGCACAGTTATAGGCTCGCACACCAGGTCCTTGGAGGCTCCTAACATGAAGCCAGGACACCAGAACAGCAGCAGCAGCAGGAGGGGCCGCGGGAACGGCGGGCTGCATGGCGCGTGCCTCGCCATGAATGCCATGTAGAAAATAAACATGAAACCAGTTTTAATATGATCAATAGGTGGTAATTAAAAATAAGAATGTCAATGGAGGCGGGGCAGTCGGCTTCTTTTAACTCATAAGATCCGCTAATCTACCAAGACTGGATGAGAAGTTTCATTCAGCTCCGAGAGAAAAACCTTTCAGCAGTGATCAAAACAGAACCGTGTGATCTCCTCACTTTAAATCCGGGTTCTCTGTAAAGGTCCACAAAACGCCAGGTGAGCCTCTGCTGTCAATCATTCACCAGCGCTCCGGCAATCATTACGGAGAAAGTTCATGTGCGGTGGTCACGTTCCAATAAATTTAACGACCCCTTCACATTTTACCAGCCCGGTTTGTCCCCGACAGGTCGCACACGCCAGAAAAAGGCGCATCTTGACATTTCCATTGTGTTAAACATGTTTAGGACTTTGTGAGAAAACTAAAATCACAATATCACTGTTCAAAGTTAACAAATCGATAAGTATGCGCTCGGAGCCCGATGATCCACTTGGCGTCTCACGTCGGGTCGGTTTCTTTTCTCCAGTAACACAAAAACAGCTTTCAGGCACGTTGCGTCTTCTTTGGGGAGTTTCACAAGTGTCCTCACAGGACACACGCAGAGGAAAAGCAAAGTAAAACACGCTGATAATCCGTAGGTACAAACTTGACCTGTGTCATCAGGTACAGCGGCGTGCGCGTGCAGCCCTGACCGAGCCCCAGGACAGAATAAAGTCCGTCTGAAGCTGCAGCACCTTCGCGTCACAGAGGCTGCTGCGTTCAGGGGCTGTGGGAAATGCTACCGTTGGCTAACAACCAAACCAAATCAACACTATCGAAAAGACGGATCAGATCATGTAAATATTAGGTCGCACATGTTTTTACTCCTGGTTTAATTACTATTTATGAATATGACGCACAAATTTGATGCACTTGCTACTGGAGTGTTTCCATTTATGTTATTCTATGTTCTAGGCTACCAACATTTTCTCTTGATGCAAACTTAATACATCATCAGTGATAAACCAGTACATTAATGCATCACTCTGTCAGGAGTCATTGTGTGTAATAAGTGATTTTACTTTTTATACTTAAAACACCTTGTTCCTGTTGAAAATGAGTTATACTTTTATTCAGATGTTGAATGCAGGAGTTTTTAAATGGTGAAAGATCGGACTTCGTCTTTGAACACTGTAATTCAGTTCAACAACTTTTAGTCTCTGATAAAATCCCCAAATTTCCCAAACCTGATCTGGATTTATCATTTATAAACACACTTTGCATAGACTCCACACAGGGTGAATTCACTAAAATGTGATTAGGTTTTATTTCCCCTCTTAATTCTGCAGCTCAGTGAAGTCTGGTGTTTCCTGAAAACTGCCTTGGACACAGAGTCCCTGTTGTGATTGTACTCCCACCGAGAGCACTTGAACACATCAGTGAGTTGTATTTATGACTTCCTGCATTGGATATGATCTGTTAGGCCACTGACACCCCGACCAAACACACAATAGGGGTTTCAAATCATTCACAGTATGAAGATCCAGACTGTCCTTTATTCCTCATTAGTTGTGATTCTCTGCTCATGTTTCTTTTTCTAATGCTAACAATGCTGCAATAATTCCTAATGTCCTTCCTCTATAATCAGTATGTATTGTACATTAGGTGCCCCCCAGTTGTGTTTTCAGTCTAAATTCATATTGCTATCCTATTCCCATGAGGATCAAGTGTTTCATTTTTGAGCTGGTCAGTGCATTCCCAGGTGAGGGTATAGAAGAATATTGAGTTTGGACACACCTCCTCATTTAATTGAACAGTACAGTGTGTATATGCACTGATCCTGACTTCAGACAGACCTTAGTCTCAGTTTGCCCTCGTATCTGCAGACAGTCTGTTTCCTGTTAACTCTGCTTACACTGGGGAAAAATGAGTATATGTTTTATTACGAGACAGGAACGGTGTCATTTTCCACAAACGGTGTCGGTGGCAACCTCAAATTGGCCAAGCTGTGTTTTTGGCACGTTTGATTCATCTTCAGCTCTTTAGCTTCAGCACCATGCACTGTTCAAATATCCTCTTTAAAGGCGGTGGGGGATTAAACTGTCATTTATAGGAATTTACAGAAGCCCTGTATTTACATTGTTACTTACATTAGCTTTATGAAAACTCAGTTAATGGATTTGATGTCAACTATAAAAGTTTAAACTTAGGCTTTTATGAGGTGACTCGTATTTTTGTTGGGTGGGGGAGATTTACCACTGTCACTGTCCACTGTCATAAACTCTGAGCCTAGAAAAGCAGCAGCTCATGACATCTAACCATGAAGAGATCAGCTCCTGAGGCCCCTTTCAGTGAGGTAGGCAGAACGTTTCCATAATATTACAGTCAGGACGTTTCTGTAGTTTCATCTCTGTAACAAAGTAAAACTAGCTCCTCAGAGACACCATCCAAGAGAAGTCTTGAGCATCTCTGGAGAGACCTGAAAATGGCTGTCCACCAACGTTTACCATCCAACCTGACAGAACTGGAGAGGATCTGCAAGGAGGAATGGCAGAGGATCCCCAAATGCAGGTGTGAAA